TACGTAATTACTAAACTTAATGTTTATATATTACTTAAAGGTTATTTTTTTGTCTCCTGTGGTTCTCTTTCAGTTTTTCTCGCACTGCTCTGTGGGTGGGCAGTACTTCCTTTATGATTCTGGTTCTTCCAGTTGTCTTTGAGACAGAGCGACTACAGCTGGAACAACAGCAGCTACAACAGCAGAGACAGGTAATGACAAGCAACAAAATTGTGTTACTTTCAGAATTTGCTTATATAGGTACTTCAGCTCAATTTTTTTTTATCAGAGGCAAATAGGTCCCTTTCATAATTCCATGTTGCCACTTCCCTCAGTTTCTGAAAGCAGGTACGCTCTTAAGGTTTCTTTGGTAAAGAAAATGTTCTTCTCTTGTTACAATGTCAATTGAAGAACGCTTTTTGGTGCTGTATAGAACCCTTTCGACGTCGTCTTCATGAGGCCTTGTGTCCACAGGCCCTGCGTCTGGAGACAGCGCCTGCATCCCAACAACAGCACATATTCAATCAGTCTGAAGCACCCTTTCATGATACAAAGAACCCTTAGATCATGCAAAGGGTTCTTTGAGTGTTCATGGTTCTTTATAGGACCATTTTCTTTACTAAAGAACCCTTGAAGAACCGTGTTTTTTAAATTTGTACTCATGTTTCCAGCATAACCAAAACAAACAGCATTGTCAAAATTAAAGGCATTTTGTTGTGTCCCTCAGTGCCACAGCTCCAAACAAAAACTGCCATACAAGGGACTTCATCAATGCTCAGTTGAGGACTGAGCTCAGCTGATCATGGTCAGCAAGAATTCAGGCGATTTGGAAAGTAGAAGGATAAGTAAATCTCGATTGATCTCTGCAGACCTTTATTTATAGTAGTCTATAGTATACTTCTGCATTATGATGTGGACTTCTCTGCAGCATGAAGTGGAAGATACAGAAATATAAATATTAAGTTTTACATGGTAATGTCAGCAAACAGGTTGAGCTTGTTTAACTCGCCAGAATGGGGTTGAGTCACACAGTTTTGATCAGATATGAATGATTGTGCTATAGTGAGTGAGTAGTTGCCAACATAACGTCACTGTTTACTTTAAAATTGGGATCATCTACTCATCAAATAGTTTGGATTCATTTTGAATGTGATGAATGCTTAGTTGGAAATAGATGAAATTCCATTATGGCTGATTTTGTTGAGTTGGAATTGAGGGCAGCAGTACCAAAATTCATAAAGGCCACAAGGTATTTCAGATACTGTGGGTTTAAAACAAACAAAGAAGGAAGGAGGAATGCTGGAGTGGGGGAATGCTGCCTTTTCAGATGAGCTACAGCTAGAGCTAACAGGTGTAACATTACATAGTAAGGGGGCCAGTTTTCTACGCAAAATCTTTTCTTGTCAGTTGTCAGCATGTTGGCTTGTTGAGGTATCACTTTTTAACCTACCCTATACCACATTCTACTGAATGTGCCTGGATCTTCTGCAATTATAAGGTCATTAAGGAGCTGGAATATGAATTTTGCTACATGAGAGCTAACACTGCTGCTCATTGAATTGACATCATAAGCCAGGCAAGTGTACAAAAATACCCCACAAACAGCAAGCCTTTTCTAGTGTGGTAAATAGGTTGCTTTGGCAGCAGAAAAATATATTAGGTGTAGCTGGAGTTTTTTATAATAGCGTTGGAGGGTGACAGTAGACTTCCTGCCATGCAGCGTCATTTCAGTGCAAAAGTAGTAGGTTGTTTTTAGCACGAAGGTAGTAGTGTTTATATTTTGACCCCTTAACAACGTTTGTCTTTAGAGGAGCCAGACATTCAGTGGGAAAAAAGTATGTAGGATAAAACATATTGAGCTTGGAAACCTTTTTGTGTACCACGTATGATTTTTGGAAACTTACATTCATTTTTGCCATAAAGAAATGTTTTACTGAGTATCCTAAACTGTATGATTTTACAGATCAAAATTATAATGACATAAACATGACTTTCTTTTAAGCTTGTTTTTCCTAACAGCACCACATTTTCTAGTTAAAAGTACATCACTTTCTAAAAGAGCAAGGCTTCCTGCCTATAGGGACGATAGCTAGCAAGCACATCTGATTGAGCCAGAAGTACTGGCACAGTAAAATACATAATAAAGGTATCTGAGACACAAAATAAGGCTGCAGAATATCTGGGGGAATTGCTCGTAAATAATAACAGCAAAGGTAATTTTATGGGTCAAAAATTGAACAGACTCGAATAGTTTGTTAAACAGATTTTTACAGATTGACATGATGGTGAAGCAGCAGAAGTTCAAGTTTTAAATAATACAATTACAATTAACCTAAGTTGTATTGACCTCATCCACCCTGTCTTGACTCCAAGCTTTAAAAAGTTCATTAATGAAAAAATAAAAATATGCACCTTTGCCCTGAAAAAGTGAATGTAGTATACATTTTCAACTCATTTCAAGGTAGAAATTTGGATCTTATAGACCATGTCATACTCTTGAGGGCACAGTTGCATTGTTTGTTTCTTGGGGAACCAAAATTTACCAGAACAGCTTATCCTGTTTTTCTACAGTATACTCTAGGATAGTGGTTCCCAACCCTGGTCCTGAAGTACCACCCTGCATTTTAGTGTTTTCCCTGCTTCCAACACACCTAATTCAGCTTATAAGCTTATTAACAAGCCCTTCTTGAGCTGAAGTGGGTGTGCTAGAGGAGTAAAACACAATGTGCAGGTCCAAGACCAGGGTTGGGAACCTGTGTTCTAGAAAGCCAAGTTTTGAGCATTAACAGTGGCTTCCACAATTGAGGTACCTAGAGCAGGCTACATCTATAAAACATCTTAACTGTTTTATAGAACCTTAATATCAGCTCATCTTATTAGATTGGGCCATACCTGTCAGTACACCTTTTGTAATGGCTTTTTCAGTAATAATTTGTGTACTATACAAACAGATTTTATTGGGGCCAAATGCTGGAATGTCTGGTGGAATGCCGGGAATGATGCCCCCTGCTCCTGGAAAGCTCTGAAGAAGAGGCTCCTGCATCAGCCTTGTGCTGCAGCTCATAGGGGACCTGAAGAGGAAATACAGAGCATGAGTGAACTGGGGGAAGAGAAAAAGGAGGTGGACATCCGTCAACATACTTGCAGGACTTGTGTGAACAGGGGAGGATGTGTGTCCTTTCCAAAGAGCATCAGAATGCGTTTCCTTTTGCCTCTCTCTGTGTACAGCATACATGTCTGAGCACTGACTTCTTTTGTCTTTTTTTGATGGTAAAGTGATAACTATCAGAGTATTTAGATTCTGTAGTAAATCCATATGTGACTCTGGTGAAACATCCATTTTAAACATGTACAGATGGATTTTACAATAAGTGTTCATTTTGAACTTTTCTTAATGGATTACAAAGACAAGATGAAAGCTTTGCTCATTCTAAAGGACTCATGCATTCACAAGTTTTGGATGTTGCAAACTTTTGGTTGATGAATGTAAAATTACTGTTTGTCAACAATGTCCTTTACAAATGACTTTCAAGCTAACATTTAAAGAAAATGCGATGACAAGCCATTCAACATAATGAATAATGGATCATAGTAGGTTTCAGTTTTTGGTTTGTAATAACAGAGTGTAATATTTCTTTTTTTTTCTTTTTTTTCTTTTTGCAAAGAGGAACAACAACAAAAAAACAAACAGTGAGCCTAACAATTAACCTAAGGTTAATATAAGACCTGGTAACCTGATTAAAGAAAATCACTAAATTAAGTGCTGGTATTTACTTTCTTTGGTTGTGTGTGTGTGTGTGTGGGTGGGTGTGGGTGGTGGGGGTGGGGTGTTGTTGAGAGCAACTGTTCAAAATCTTTGACGTAAAAACGATTTCATATCAGTTTGTCATGTCTGGTCCTCCAAAAAGTCTTTTGTATATTTGATATGTGTACAGGAATAAAAAAATTGTTACTTATATTTGGTGCCAATATAATGTCAAATGAAATGTGAATCTTAATGATTCAGTAGGAATAAGGCAATTACTGCAATACACAGATGTGACTGGTTTAGAGACAGGATTTCAGAAATCATGTTTGTTAACGTGAAGAAAATGTTATATTACAATACTAACTTCTGATTCTGTTTAAAAACAATATAGATGATAGATTTAGAGTCTTGGTGGCTTCGCCTATGAATTTGATTAACTGGAAGCAGCACCTTCTTGTTGGACTGTTACTGCGTGTGTGTTGTGAATGGAATCGTGTTGGGTGCGTGCGTGCTGGGACCTCAACCCGATGGAATTATAACATGAATTCTGCCTCAGTAAGCCACTCTCTAGAAATACCTAGTAAACATTTTCAAAATCAAAGTCCTTGTTTTGTTCAGTATGGCGCCTCTCGTGAAAGCCCATGCAGTACCGAAAGGATGTTCGATGCACTGTAGAATTGGCACCATTAAGTTACCTGAAAAAGTAGCAGTAGTAACTTTTACTATTCAAATGCCAAAAATTATAAACAAAGAAAGGAAAAACTTACAGATAATTGAATTATTTCAAATACATAGATGTTTTTTGTGAGATCAGGACAACAGAAAATGGATATCTATTAATTTTTGTATTTTTTAATTGTAGTTTCAACGATCCATACATTTTAATTGTAAAATAAAAGGCTAAGTATAACTTTAAACACATCCGGTGACGGTGTCCAACTGTTGATCTGAGGAGCCGCACGAGCTGTTTAGTGAATAGTTAGCTAGCTAGTTAGCTAATCGAGGTAATTTATTTTTAATTCTCTGTACCAAAACTCTTGCCTAGTTGTACATTGAGTTAACAACATTTGTGATTTGAAGGTAAGATATTTTTGAGAAATTCCACGAGAACTGTTTTTATTGTTGCAAAGGTGTGGGGATAGCAATAGTTTTAGCAAAACTTTTGTTTCAGAAACTATTGCTGTCCTCACTACGGTAACGTGCCAACAATTCAGTTAGCTAGCTAGCTAGCCCGCCCAACTTAAAGTGTTGATATCCTGTTAGATATGCAAGTATGAAGTCAGTGGAGGACCAAGTTGTACAAGATGAGGCACGGTATCAGGACGACGAGGTGAGGTATAGATAGATAGATGGATGGATGGATAGATAGATAGATAGATAGATAGATAGATAGATAGATAGATGTGGAAAAAAAGTGGAATATCATCAATTTAGTTTATTTCAGTTAGCTGCTTTAGAAAGTTTTTTTCATTTACCATCATAAAAAATATTATTACCAGTTCTATTTATTGTGTAGCTGTCCACTTACAGGTATCTTTCTTCCAAGACATTGATCTTCTACAGAAATATGGGATTGTGAGTATATTCATATTATTTACATTATATGAATTATGACAATAATTTAACTTGAATTTTAACATATATATTTTCATGATTTTATATCTTTGCTCTAATTTTCACAGAACATGGCTGATATCAAGAAGCTGAAGTCTGTGGGAATTTGTACGGTAAAAGGGATTCAGATGACCACACGGCGTGTGCTCTGCAGTGTAAAGGGCTTATCTGAAGCAAAAGTGGACAAAATAAAGGAAGCTGCTGGGAAGTTGCTGGTAACATTTTCTTGCAGTTATCTTTATTGTCCGAAGAGTTATTTGATTTTGTGATAAATATTATATTGATATAATTTTAGAAAGCCTAAAATCCAGTTCTATGAAATCTCTAAATTGAGTGTTGATTTTTTTTATTTATTTTGCTGCAGATCACTGGATTTCAGACAGCTTCTGAATACAGTATGAAAAGGAGACAGGTGTTCCACATCACAACAGGCAGTTTGGAGTTTGAGTAAGAAGTAACTTACTGTTAACCATTCAGCCTGTCATTGATGCAAGCAGTCAGCATTACATTATTCAAAGACATGGCATTCCCACAGCCATCATTACTTATCATAGCTGGATAGAAACTACTTTGATAATTATTTCCACCAGTTATTATTTCACCACTGCATTAGACATCAAAGGTGGCGAGACACTTTATTTCACCCTAATGTTTTGGTTTCACACACAGAGCACTTGCGCTCTGGTATGGAGCTATGAAAGAGGGTTGGCAGAGTTGTAGCAGTGAGTGTTGCATGAACCTCTATCACTAATCAGCTTTCCAGTCAAGACAATCTTAATATGCTGGCTATTGCATTTGATTTATAGTTCCATATAGAGTATACTTGGAATAGTTTTTACAGGAGCCCAGTGTTTTCAATTTAAAATTATGTTTTAAAATATCAGGCTAAAAGAGAATCTTTTATTGAATTTAATTTTAGTAAACTTCTTGGAGGGGGAATAGAGAGTATGGCAATTACTGAGGCTTTTGGAGGTAAGCTGCAGTTTTACATTGTTATACTTGTCTTTTGCCTTTTGTTTCGTATTGTCTGATTTATTTTGAACTTTACTGCAGAGTTCAGAACTGGTAAGACACAGCTCTCTCACACACTGTGTGGTAAGTGATGGAAACATCCTTGTATCTTGAGTCTCTGCATCTTGTGTTTACAGTAGGAGTGTAAAAATGTATGAAGCTGAAGGTGGTGATTCAACTGCATTGATTTTGGACTGTTAACACTGATCATAGTAATATTCAATAAAATTTGTGCTAAAACATTCTTAGACTGTTTTTATTCCACTACTGTGTAAATAGTAACTTCTCCGATAACATTTGTGTATTCAGAGTTTTTTAATGATTCTGAATAGTACTCCAATAATTGAATGAAATGGTGGTGAAATTTGAGATTTCATGAGGCACTGAATTATTTTCTAAAATAAATATAATTGAATTGAATTATTTTGAGTTGAGAGAATTTGACCTTTGATTAACAGACACTTAAAATAATGTTGTCTTGTTGTCTGCAGTTACAGCTCAGCTTCCTGGTGAGGATGGATACACTGGAGGGAAAGTTATTTTCATTGATACTGAAAATACTTTGTATCCCTTTGAATTTATGTTGTACTTGTGTATAATGCATATCCATTGTAATTGCTGCTATTGTGTTTTTTCCTTAATCTGTGATTTTTAGTCGTCCAGACAGACTGAAGGACATTGCAGACAGGTTCAATGTGGATCATGAAGCTGTGCTTGATAATGTTCTCTACGCCCGTGCCTATACGAGTAAGACTGTTGTTTTACCTTTTGTGAAGCATGGTCAATGCTTTAGTTTTGATTTGTCTTCTTTTAGGTGATATTCTAGGCAATGCTGATTGGTTTGTTAATTTGTCAGGTGAACATCAGATGGAGTTGTTAGACTTTGTTGCAGCAAAATTTCATGAAGAAGGAGGGGTCTTCAAGCTCTTGGTAAGGAGAGAAACAAAAGACAAGGTAAACAATGTAAGTTGTAACTGACATAACATCCATATGACATCCATTGGAGACCAAAGTGGCACTCTTTTGTGAAAGGTTTGTTGAATGTGATCTGTCCCCCTTTTTCTTTCATTATTGATTTTTTTTTTTTCCCCCTCAGATCATAGACTCCATCATGGCTCTGTTCCGGGTGGACTTCTCTGGTAGAGGCGAACTGGCAGAGAGACAGCAGAAGCTGGCACAGATGCTTTCCAGGCTGCAAAAAATCTCTGAAGGTCAGCTTTGTTTGACAAAGAGCCTCCTTACTTTCTTATTCATTTGTTGATGTTAAAATTGGCAATATCAAAATCCTGTCACAAGCATTCCTTTACCCTTTTTTCGTTATTAGTGGCAGGGATTTCAGAAGTATGTACATTAAGAGCTAAACCTAAATAATTTAAGTGCATAGTAATACATTTAGGAACCATACAAAAAATACATTGTGAACCCTTGATCAAAAGTCTGTTTAATTTACAACTTATAGAGTACAATGTTGCAGTGTTTGTAACAAATCAGATGACAGCAGATCCAGGAGCCGGGATGACGTAAGTTTTTACCAAGAAATTCTATGTTTAAACTTTGGTCAGTCATCAGTTACAGTGACTTGTAACTGTGCTGCATGTTGCATCACCATAAACAAGACAAGAAAAATACATTTTGAATGTGAAGGTTTTCATTTACATCTTCAACAAACACGAGAAGCTATCATCGCTGTTCGATTCCAGGAATTTTGAAGTCGATTCCAATTTTTTAAGTGATGAGAATCAATGATTCTGAGTTGATTCCACACAATAATCACAAAAAGGTGCAGACACTGAAGTAAAATCACTCTATTGTAGATTTCAAGCAGATCCCAAAAAGCCCATCGGAGGTCACATCCTGGCACATGCCTCCACCACTCGGCTAAGCTTGAGGAAAGGACGTGGTGAAACAAGAATTGCCAAAATATTTGATAGGTAATTCATGTTGAGAAATGTTGACTATGCAACTCAAATACACTAAAGTAAATAAATAAGGTCATAAACTTGTATGTAAAAAAAATATATTACCAAAAGAAGCCCCACTTGACGTTAAATACCAGAGTACAATTTTTTTTACTCTACCATACTGTCTACTTTTTTCAAGCCCTGATATGCCAGAAAATGAAGCTACTTTTGCCATAACTCCTGGAGGGGTAGCAGATGCAAAGGAGTAAAGAAACAGTTTCTCCAAAGTAGATATAATTCATGGAATTGTAAGGCTAAATAAGACTAAGTGTTCAGGTTAACATTTTACTAATAACAGTATTTATGCATGTATTTATTTGTAAAAAGTTGTCTGCTTTATTTCTTACTGTGTATTGTCACATTTTGTATGTGATTTCTGTGTAAACTGTGGATTGAGTTACACTGGGTGTCAATTCAATAAACTCTTTAACTTGCTCAGTGGTTGAAAATGCTGGTTGTCTCATTCCCATGTTAATCTGTATTTTTTTTTTCTCACTTTTATTCAAGGCTCATTTAACCAATTCATGTCGACCAACTAAATTTGGCGTACAAGAACATTACACAGTACCCATTTTATTTTTATATAATATGTCTGTATTATCATTACATCTTATAAAATTTAGATTTTATGTTAAAATCAGTAGTCCCATCTGACCAAAAACACTTATTTTAATAAGATAAATGGGAATCCAAAGAATTTTCGGATTTACTTAATAATTAAGTGGGTAAGATGTAAACCAAAACATTGAGTGGTTTAATAAAATATAAAATAGCTATATCTGCGTTTTAGACATCGCTGGTTCCCATCACCACTACTGTAAAGAAAGTTCTCTAAAAAAATGCATCGTTTCACATCACTCAGACTTACTCTGTTTACGATTCTTTGTAATTTTCTGTTTTAATCTATACATGTTTACAAATCGGTTAAATTCCTCTTGAAGATGTAAACAATCACTTTTAAAATACATGATAGATCGATTTTCGATATCTTGACATTTGTGTTCAGACAAGCTGAACGATGAACAAAGAACGTATGAAGCGAATTAATTTTTTTTCTCAATTTTCAGATACGGCTTAATTTGAAAAACTGTCTACTTGGTGGCCATTTTTGGAAGAGCTTGTCCACAGTCGCTTCACACTCGACACGGTATGCCCATGTAGGACAGTCGTACTGTCGTAGGGAAAGCCAGGCACCTCATGCCGTAGCTAGTTAGTTGACTGCGCTTATAAGCCTTTCAACTTGTGCGGTTATCTGCAACAGCTGGTAAAATCGAGGCAAGGCATTTAACAGTTAATAAGGTACTGGATATCAGCTCTAACGGTGAGATATCCGTTTGGTTATAGCTGTTGTAGACTACACTAATGGACTCCAGAGACACAGCCCCTGATAGCTGGGAGCAGGAGGACGATGTGGAGGCCCCAGACACGGGGCTACAATCAGCTTTCACTGGCCTTAATGTGAATGCCCCGGAGTTTGTTCCTTCCTTCATTCCTAGAGGAAATCCAGAAAGCACCGACCAAGACGGTAAAGAATGTCAGTTTATGCAACAGTATTTCAGTTGTGAAACCAGCCTGCAGTTTCACTGCTACGGCTCGCTGGCTAACGTTAGCACAGAGGAGAACGCTCTGAAGACTTAACGGTAGCTGGCTGGCTAGCTTGCTAGCCTGCCGCGATAAACAGCTGAAACAGCTGTGTGAGGTTATGTAAACCAGCTTTCCTAAGAGATATAGTAACTTGTGTGAGAACTGAAGGTATAAGATAAAACCCACATGTACCTTTGTCTTTCCGTAAGATAACGATATATAATGATGTTGAGATACCATTACGCAATGTTATTTGGTAATAAAAGTGTCATTAATTATCGTGGAAACAATGCCTTTTTTAAAGGCCACTTATTATTAATCTAGGATTAAGCTAAATTCAACAAGCGTTAGTTCCACTGATTTTTCTAAAATGTATTCAAATTTGTGCTATCCAAATGAGCAGGAAACCGACATGTTTGTTCTGAGATTTTTAAATGTAGTGTTGATAATGGTAAAATGGTTGCAAATCAGAAAGTATAGAAAATACATCATGCCAAACCTTTTTTCAAAACTAAACTAAAAACTTGGGAATCAGATAACATATTTGTAACCATTTCATCTAATAACTTTCTGTGAAGTAGCTTTTAGAGGCATTAAATGCCTCAGATGTCTGGTTCCTGTTACCACCTCTGTGACCAATTTTGAGTTTCTCTAGAATAGCTTACTTCACATCAGACTACTCTGAATGACTGTTTACATTTAGACAATTTAATTATGCAGAAAATTAAAAAAAAAAAATCGGTGGAATTCCCCTTTAAAGCAAAGGTACTGCTGTACTACTGTGCAACTAAGCAACCAGTACAATTGCAAGAGTTCTTTAGTAACACCGATGTTTCTCTCCTTAGGTACAGACACAGTTGCTAACATGGAGATTTCCGAACCAGCGGGTAGGTGTCCTTGAATTTTGGAAAGATGTGGATGTATGCTTTTGCTCAGTTCACTTCTGTTTTCTATGCTGTTTTCTGAATTATAAAGCAAGTGATATATCAGTAAGATTTCAGTATAATGAGCATTTAGGTTTTAGTGTTTCAAAGAAAGTATTTTTGCGTTATTTCTGTTATTATTTTAGATAACTGGTATCAGTCTCAGACAGATTTGTTAATTAGCTTGCCAAGTGACCTTGGTTAAAGGGAAACTTACTTAAAGAGATTGTTCCACATTCTAAAACGGATAGATCCGGTCCCAAAATCTGATTGGCTGAGCCGCGTTCAAAGCCGTTGTAAAATCCATGATATACCACGGGTATGACTGCTTCACAACAACAGAACTCTGTATTACTGCGCCACGGCACAAAAAACCCTTCTGCTGGTAATGGGTTAATCTTTGACCAAGTGTACTGATGAAGTAAGAACCCGTTTTTGCTTAAAGTGAGGGGCTGAAAACTTATTTTTTAACTAGAACTAGACTGGTCAGCTAGCTAACAGGCTAAAAGATAGCAAACATGCTAAACAACTCCAACATTAATATCACAGCCTTGAATTAAAGTACTGATGATATGATTCACTGAAAGAATGTCACCTGAGTGGCTTACACGCTTCAAATGTCCGTGTTTCAGTCAGAAGTAACATCAAACCCAGGCTGAATCCCAAACGGCTCCATGCTCCCTAGCTAAATATTGAGCTGTGTAACATTTAATTTAAAAAAAATTCTAGCTTCTGCTGTAAAATAGTGCACTGCTTGTCAAGTGTGAACGTAGATGAATCGCAAATGATTGTTTTTTTTTTTAGCGATATTTTACGTTGTTGGGGTGCAGGTGTAAGTATTTAAATTCCTAAGAATGTAGGGAGCAGGGAGCCATTTGAGATTCAGCCCCAGCATGAGAAACATGTTGTCGTCAGACTGGCAGAAGAAGACTCGCAGTGATAATTTGGTGACCATAAAGTACTTAAGTACTTACAAACTTTTCATATATATGAAAACACTTCACGTCGTGCCAAAGAACGTTTTTCCCTGTGATAAAATCGCAGAAACCCACAGACTCTTGTGGCTTATTGCTTTATTATAACACTTATAGTTCTCATGCAGTATGGGGAGAAACAAAGACCTTTCTGAAGACGAAAAGCGTCAAATAAAGCAGTGTCTTGCAAAAGGCATGAAAACAGATCATAGTTAACAAAAACTGAAGAGAGATCATCGAACTGTAAAAAGATATATAAGAAACTCAGAACACAGACATACGGTTAGATGAAGGGTTATTAAAGTAAGTTCGTCAGAAAAATTAATTAAGTTAAAAGGGCAGCTTTAAAAACACCTCTGTTGAGCAGCAAACAGGTATTTGAAGCTGCTGGTGTCTTTGGAGTCTCGATGCAGGATCCTCCACAGGCTGGCAGGTGTGCAAACAGCTGTATTTTGGCTACCCCTAAGCAAATCTCACACAGTGAAACATTTGCAGTGGGCTCAGAAATACTCAAAGACTAATTTTCAAACAGTTTTATTCACTGATGAATGCCGTTCTACACTAGATGGTCCAGATGGATGAAGTTCTGGATGGTTGGTGTAATGGCCACCCTGTTCCAACAAAATTGCGACGTCAGCAAGGAGGTGGAGGAGTGATGATTTGGGCCGCAGTATTGGGAAGTGAGATGATGGATCCCTTTAGTGTCCCTAAAGTGTTAAAATGTCCTCTGCAAGTTATGTAGAGTTCCTAACCAACCATTTTTGGCCATGGTATAAAAAGAAGAATAATGCTTTCTGACATAAAATTTTCATGCACTACACCATTGACCCCTTGACTGCTATGGGTATAAAAGGAGGAAAAAAAAAATCATGGTTTGACCACCATCATCCCCTGACCTCAGTCATGTTGAAAACTTGTGGAGCATCTTTAAAAGGGATATCTATGAGGGTGGGTGTCAGTATACTTCGAAACAGCAACTCTGGGAGGCAATACTGACGTGAAATGAAAATACAGGTAGAAACTATACATGGACTTACAAGTTCAGTGGATGAGAGAGCTGGTAAAGTCATCTCAAAGAAGAGCTCATATATCAATATGTAACTTGATATGTAAATATAATTTTTGATTTAAATTTTTTTATTTTTTGAAAAATTATCTGTCCATACAGCAAATATGACAGATTTCTCTTTGAAATTATATAAATGTCATTATGACCCATTGAATATTTTCAGAAACTACATTCTGCATAATAATTTGGAAAAATGTATTTTGTGATCTTTCAAAATTTCAATAAAGCCATATCAATATCAATTCCAGTATCAGTACTTCCACTTGTAATAACATCCACAATGTGATATAATTGTTAAACATTTTGACTGTTTAGGAAAAACAAACAAAAATGGCATGTGCATAGTAATTTGGAACATGGTGTAGATCAGTAGAGGTAAATCACAGTTATATTTCTGCTAGATGAGGTGTTTTACTGCTACACCATTAGTGTTCAATCATGAAGGGGCCAACTGGAGACTGTTGCATCATTCTGGCTGTACAGCCTGTGTGTGTTCATATTACAGACATTTCCTTTGCTTAACTTCTCCAGCCACAGACAGCAATGCAGTAAATGTAGTCATCCAGTACATAGCAGGTTTATATCTGTTGTTCACATAATGTGATTAACACATTTCATATATTGTTTTCTGTTGCATGTAGGAATCTCTGTTAAACAGA